CCACCTGCGCCACCACAACTGGCCAAATTACACTTGATTATATTGTTATTTTATTTTATTTTATTTTATTTTATTTTTTATTTTATTTTATTTTATTTTTTCAAAAAGAGATTTTTGCTATAGGGCATGTGAGCTTGTCAGAGAGATAGAGACGGAGAGACAGAAAGCAAGAAATCACCCCCTAGGGGATGACCACACCACAATCCCTACTCCTCCATTCTCCTCTTGAGATCTTGGGCACGCATGCACACACACCCATCGTGAGTTTTAAGCTTCCAGGTCTGGGACTTGAACCACAGTCGACTCCATGGAAGTCCAACAAAGTAACCATCACACCATCTGCTGGTCCCTATATTGAAATTTTAAATCAGTAATACAAAGTGTGTCACAAGTTGGCACACAATGAATTGCCTAATGAAAAACACAAACATAACCTGTGATGGAAATCAAAGAACGTGGAAATCACTGCAGGCAGAAGCTTGCATAGGCTTCACGGATGCAGGAGCTGAGTTCAGTGACCATAAAATGGAGAGAACTTAAAAGAGGGAGTGAGTGTGAGTGGTGGGCACTGATCTGGAGGGGCACAATTTCTTGGCCTCAGCTGCTCCTCGTCAAGAAGCAGATGGACTACACTGCTTCCTATTCAAGGCCACACCCAGATCCTACTTTGCCTGGTTCTTCAGGAGCAGCAGGGAGATGGCCAGGAGCTCTTTGTCTGAGAGACCTCTGGGTACAACCCTGACTGTAGAGTAAATGTGTCTTCCGAACAGCAGGTGCGATTAGGGGAGTACCCTATAGATCCTTGACCTTGCCTCCTGGAACACCAACAAAACATAATTTCAACCTTTCCCAGAAGCATCATCTCACTTTAAATTCCTTCCAATTCCAGTCAAAATTCTTTTGATGGTCATTAAAATTACATGAGTGACTTCATGCAATTTTAATGTTCTCTACCAACAAATTCTGCAGAAGAAATCCCCCCAGGCATCCCCATTGATCATTCTAAGTAGATACAACAAAGCATTTCAAGACACAAGTTTTAGCAAGAAAGAAAATGAAATGAATATTTCATTTATTATGGGTTATCTGGTGATGACTTTTTTGTAATTTTTTTCATTAAAAAAAAAGCAAACAACTAAATTCAGCCTCTTACAATGATGTTGACCAACCAGATGCCAACTCTTGGCTTTATC